ATTGGAGAATTATCCTGCAATAAAAATCAATTATTATATTTTACATTTACGAGTATATCAAACTGATTTCTTACATGGTAAAATGTAAAATTGTCAAGAAAAACTTCTCTTACTAATGGTAACATCATGCTGTCTAAGATGTTAATCGCCCATCAATTTGCCCACATATTTCAGGATTGTTCACGCTTATCCACATCCAAACATTGACCGAAAGAGCCCACTATTAGTAGTATCCAATATAATTATCTTCGAATCTTAAGTTTTCTATTAGCTAAGGGGTAATAGAAATTCACTTTACAACCATAAACTTTATTAATCAATAATGGTTGAATAGCTAATAATGAATGAATCAATACCGGTCTATCTTTCCCTTTCTTCATTGTTAAAACTGAGTCTGTCCACACATCGAAATATTACCAGAATATCTTGTGTCGGCAAAAGACGCACCGCACCCAGAAATACTACAAGGAGTGTCTGGCAAATGTGTATGTAATAAATACTGGAAGACATTTCTTTCAATTATCTCTCGACTTTTGAGCCTCAGTTAAATGTTGCGCCATTTTTAAAAATTTATTTTAAATCATTGTTAAGAGCTGTCAAATTTGACCTTGCAAAGTCTAAATCACACCATTAAATTTTGGCGTTCACATTTCGATTTCGTCAACTGTTCATAGTACTTTCGAGTCTCTTTGTAGATATAAAAAATTCAGATGAAAATCATTGCTTTCAAAAAGATTTGATTCATTTGAATAATGTGTATTTATTATAAAACCTTGGGATTTATAAAGAAATCTAGCGGAAAACAGAACCACTTTGTAATAATTTTGCTTGTAGGTACCTACCTACTTATATTATTCTGTTTTAATCGGAAACTTTATTATTTTGTGCACGCATTGTATGAACTTAAGTTTAATAAACACAGTGACTCAAGAATGAAATATTGTTATTGAATTGTATATTTGCCAAAAGTTTTCTCAATTAGAAGTCTCAAGGCCAATCTAATATATAATTAGGTATATCTAGATACAGTCGACTGGATTTACCACATTTAAATCATATTAAAAAAAAACTTGTAAATAAATATTAGCCTTGCTGAAAATTTAAATAAAAAAATGAAATCTGTTTCAATAACAACTATTGGCATATTATTTTCAGTAAAAAAATCATGAATTTCGTTGAAGGTATGTTGATGTAAAAAGTGATATAAAAATAGATTTTTCATTTAAACTGTTTTTTGTTTTGTTTTGAATGTTGGAATGTTTAAAACATGCATTGTTCCAAATTCCTTTGCATGATACATTGTTTTTATCAATAATTACTCTGTTGTAAGTGGTATATATATGGGTTTCTAGATATAAAATAGTGGAATTAAAAATATTTTTGTATTTATCAGCACAGACAAAAAATTAATTTTATTATTATTTTCCTTTCTAGTCTAATTTATCATATTAACTAATAATTCATTATATTTAGGGATGATTTTAAAAATATATAGGTATAATGTATTTTTACAATATTATGCAACATAGTTATTTAATTATTTATTTCCCAAACAAACTTATACATTAATTTTTTTTAATAAATAGGTAACATTTTACAAAATAATTGCTGCTGTTGATTTGATTAAAATGCTACCCAAAATAAACATTTAACAGCTTGACAGTTTTATTTTGGATACTCTTTAATTTAATTGCTGTACAAAGACAACAATGCATAAACTAGTGTTTTCACGAATATTAACTTTTTCGAAACGAAATTATGAAACTGGATAGGGATTCTTATGTGCGGACTCAACAGGTAACAAATTAGACATTCCAACGACTTGTCAAACTGCTGACAAGACAAGTGGGAACTGACATTTAGATGTGGCAACCCTGTGAGCCTGTTGTCATTGACAGGGTCAATAATACATATATAGTTATATAGATTGCCCAAAGCGGGTCGTTTACGAGCGGCCATATTGCCTCGCAAGTGCTTATTAATCAAAATTGATTTTGCAAAAATGTGTTTACAAACCAATATTTAGTCTTTGAATATAGTAAAAAAAAAATAATTACCTATATTTTTACTTCAAGGTATAAGCTTATGTTTATTTTGAAAAATATGGATGATCAATCTATGTAACTATCTATTTCACTGACCTTGTCAAATTACCAGGCCTACAGGGTTGCCATAATTTTGCCATATCATAACCTGTCAAAACCCACTGGTAGCCATTTTGTTTGGAATGCCTAATTGAATAGAGAGAGACATTACATACGAATCGCATTCTGTGGAACGAAGATAGAACCTTCTTAACACGTGCCGAATTGAAAGATGAGAATCCCACTACTGGGACTCAATTCTCGAGTTTTATTCCCATGGGAAAATAAAATTTTCCCATGGGAATTTAGTTTTCGTATTCTCAACACAAGCGGTGGAATATTTTCCAATGAGAAGTATGGGAAAATATTCCCCTGCTTACGAGCATTGGAAATTGTGTTTTCCAATGGGAATTGTACTAGAGTTTGCGAATTAAAGTCGAGAATTTGACGAAGGACTAACACATAACCAAAGATTTTCGGATATCTTGGATTTTTGGTGAAATTGTAGTTAAAACATTTTTTTGGCGTATTTATAGATTTTTACTTGTTTGTACTTATTATTTAAGTTGATTGATATTATTTTATTTATGTAGGTATATTATTTTTACTTTTCTTTCACTAAGAAACTGGATGAACCGATTTTCTTAAATCAGTTAGCAATTGTGGGAGCTGCTGAGGGACTGGCAAATAATACAAATTGAGAAATTTGTAGTAATTTGAGTAATGAAGCAACCCTTTCGAAAATTTTATTATTCCCGTTAACGAAGGAATTTCTTAGTTTCTCGAAACTTTCGTTGCTCTTCCGTACAAAAGCTACTTTTTCTTTTTTCAACATGTAAAAAGAAAAGCTAATAATTCAACAAGTTTTAATTATACAATCTAATATTTTCCCTTGGTCCTCGGTCATGCTAGCGATTGCTCGGCACGACACCTGCTCCGGAGCGGGGGCTCGGCAGGTAACAGGTTACCCACAAACCACAACAAATACCGATAATGGCAACAGTAAATTTTAAAATATCTTTAATGTTATTGGTTGTTTCGAAATATTCGTGGACTTAATATCAGACATACGTGAAACTACTATTTCCACAGGAATGTCTATTCCGACAAGTTCGAGAATTGCATAACCTATTACCATGGGAATATAAGTAGTGGAATCTTTTCCCATGGGAAAAGATTCCAAAACAACCAATAACATTAAAGATATTTTAAAATTTACTGTTGGCATTATCGGTATTTGTTGTGGTTTGTGGGTAACCTGTTACCTGCCGAGACCCCGCTCCGGAGCAGGTGCCGTGCCGAGCAATCGTTAGCATGACCGAGGAACAAGGGAAAATATTCGATTGTATAATTAAAACTTGTTGAATTATTAGCTTTTCTTTTTACATGTTGAAAAAAGAAAAAGTAGTTTTTGTACGGAAGAGCAACGGAAGTTTCGAGAAACTAAGAAATTCCTTCGTTAACGAAAATAATACAATTTTCGAAAGGGTTGCTTCATTATTCAAATTACTACAAATTTCTCAATTTGTAATATTTACCAGTCTCTCAGCAGCTCCCACAATTGCTAACTGATTTAAGAAAACCAGTTCATCCGCGTCATCCAGTTTCTTAGAGAAAAAAAAAGTAAAAATAATATACCTACATAAATAAAATAACAAACAAGTAAAAATCTATCAATACGCCAAAAAAATGTTTTAAATACAATTTCACCAAAAATCCAAGATATCCTTCGTCAAATTTTCGACTTTAATGCGCAAACTCTAGTACAATTCCCATTGGAAAACACAATTTCCAATGCTCGTAAGCAGGGGAATATTTTCCCATACTTCTCATTGGAAAATATTCCACCGCTTGTGTCGAGAATACGAAAACTAAATTCCCATGGGAAAATTTTATTTTCCCATGGGAATAAAACTCGTGAATTGAGTCCTTGGAGTGAAATTTTGCCGCGTTTGAATATCCACATCGGATGCATCCGAGATGTGAATTTTTTGTCAATTGATAGAAAATTAGATCTGAATGTAGATGTAATAAACGCTCTAGACTTTATTGGTCATGTGATAAAATGACAAGTTAGAAGTTTATATTCTTTAAATTTGACTTTTGAAACTGGAAATCAACCTAAATTTGAAATCTAAACAAAAATTAACCTCACTAATCACTTTTATTTTCACGCTAGCAAAAACAAAGGATAAATCGATAATGTTGGCTTCACAGAACACCTACTTTCTGACGTGGAACATCTCACATCTCATTTCAAATCGAGATGTAAAAAATGTAATCTGGACAGCTACATCTGGGATAAACAAACACAGATGTATATTTAGTAGATGTGTCCGATGTGGATAAACAAACTCTCGAGATGTAAAAAATGCATCCGATGTGGATATTCAAACGCGGCATTTGTAGTCTTATGATTTTTCCTTTTCTTGAAATGAAGGTTTCAAATTTATCCATGCAATAGCTGCAATTCATTTGTTCAAGAGACTTGTTTTTAGGTATAAGTTTGAAATTCTTGTTTTTGCAAGTAGTTGATTTTAAATTATGGTGGGATTGTTTGAGCATAAGATATGCATTCAATAAGATATTTAAAGACCCATCGCTACAAGGTGGAGAGGGAAATATATTCCGTGATATCCTCTACTTTTAACAGTGTTAAAGTGACAATTGACCAGGGAATAGTGTAAACACTGTATACTCTTCCAAGAATTAATTTACATATTTATATTTTATGTATCGGGTCCGACAAAAGAATGCATATTACTCCTTTCTTTTGCATATTGTTTGAAAATAAAAAGAGTGAATAATTTATTTTTCTCTATTAATTTGCAGAATATTTCTGTGTACTCGTGATTAATAAAATATTAAACAATATACATGCACTATTTCTAGTAATAAGGCACCATATCTTTTTAGGTATATTATAGATCATGATGATCCATCCCTAGATAGAATATCCGTTGCGCAGTGGATAATAAGAATAATATTCCTTCTTATCCAACTCTCGCCTCTTTTGAGGTACATAGACATCCTTATTTATGGAATCAGGAGCAAAATAGCTGCGGCGACGGGAAATGAAGCTAAACAGGCAATTTTATACAGACGAATGTTGGATGAAGACACAAACAGTGCTCTATTGAGGCTGTTCCATTGCTTTTTGCATGCTGCTCCACAAGCTATAGTTCAACTGGTTATATTGCTCACACATGTTGCTCATCCTGAATCTTTCCCTCTCAGTATAAGTAAGTAAATAATTTTAAGCATAGATCAAAAAACATCATTAAACTTACCCACATGTAAAACCTTAACGATAGTAACGTCATTATTTAATTATTTTAATATTGGTAAACTGAAATTTTTTACATGTTTTTTCTATCGATTTCTTAAATATTTTCCAGAAAAATATTTGTTAATGATTTGAGGAAAGACAACCTCATTTATTTGAATTTTACTAAACGCAGTAACGATGCAAAGTGTGATTAGTGTGATTGAAAAATCACGCCATCATTCAACTCTTTCTCTGAATTGGTACTGACTTTTCTATCTTCAAGCTTTTACATGTATGTACGTAACTATTTAAAAATGATTCGTGAAAACAGATGTTCAGATCAGTTAAAGTGGCATCCTTTATAAAAGTAGGGTCAGTGATTCAGGTTAAATCTACCTATGTGAAAAGTCATTGGTTCAGGCCTGGCCATATGCTATATTCAATAGATGTTTAAAACTAACAATATGCATATAAACAAAACATCTTTATAATATTGATACTGCCCGTTTGAGTCCTGTTAGATAAAGTTAAAAAATATCTATATCACAGAAATTGCTGTCATAATTATTGTGCTTTCCCAATTACTTCTTTCCCCATAACGAGGTTTCCCATAATTAGTTTGTTCGTGATATAGCTGTTGTCTTTCTAATATTACTATAGAACTTGAGTATCAGTTATAGAATGTAGAATTTTATACAAAAAGCTATTCATGTCACACAATAGTAATCGCAGGCTTCAGAGGATATGTTAATCGAAGTAAATTGTGCTTAAGGACCAAAATACAGGTGCGCTTTCGTTATAACAACACTTAAATAATTAAACAGAAGACACAAATTATGTGCATTTTAGCACTATCTATTTTAAAAATTTCTCAAAGTTATGTAGGTGGAATAATAAATGGCATCATTGTTAAAATAGTATTTATCAATTTGGGGTCAGATAGTCCTGGTTTGACAAAAGCTCGTTTATATCTGTTAGGAGTAAATTACCTCAGAATTCAGATCTTGGTCCATTCCTTTTCCAGATATAAATAATAGTACATAATTTGATTACTCCTATATTTACTGGTAATTCAAATTTATGTGGATATCGCATTTAAATCAGTTGTGTGTGCCCTTGTGTACCAAATAAGATTAAAAAAAAAATCCAAAACATTGTTATGATAAAGGGGTAGCTACGCTATTGAAAGAGTAATATTTATACGTTATTTCAAATATACAGGGTGTTCCGTAATAATGTTTCAATATTTTGTGTTCTACCAACCATTCAAGGGGTTTTTTGATAAACTTTTGCAATTTGGGTCCTCTCTGGCGAAATTTTAGTACACATCCTTTAGTTGAACCATATTTTGTGCTGGTGTCTTTTATTTCAGTTCATGTTTCCTTAGCTACTTTTTTTCAAGCCACTTATAACAAAACAAAATGTAATAATTATTACATCTAATTTAGAAACTTTTTATCCTATATTCAACAGTTTACGTACAAAAAATAAATATAAGTTAAAAAAAAAACTGAAAAACACGCTTTAATAGAAAAGCAAATTAAAAAGTAGAAAATCATTTTCAATAAATTTAAATTAAGAATAGTGGGATTTAAAAAAAATTATTGTAGAAAAGCGAGGGGTGCTTTTAAAGATATTTCCATAATGACTCTACTTTTACCAATATCTGTCATTAAAATATTGTAACAATTGACATCAAGTACCCCACGCTTTTCTACAATAAAATAAATTTTTTTGTTAATCGCACAATACTTAATTTAAATTTATTGAAAATGATTTTCTATTAAAGGGTGTTTTTTTTTTACTTCCCTCTATAAAAGGAAAGTATTGTAAACGTGAAAAAGTCACCTTCCGAGATTATTTCAGATTTTCACGTTTCAGGGTCCCTAGATTACGAAAAACATGTTTCCCCATTTCGTCTGTCTATCTGTTAGCTCAAAAACAGCTTTATAGAATTATGTATGCAGATAAGGTGTCTTTCTGGCTCAAACCAGTTTTACTTCCGATCAGTTATATACAGGGTGAGCAGTTTTTAAAATAAAAATTATTGATTACAGATCCCCTAAATAAGTTTTTAAAAATTTAAAATGGCGCTGAAAGGAATCGTATTTAATCAAAAAAGGCCCCACTTGAATGTAAAAAAAATAAAAATCGTTCTTTTGTTTTTTGTAACTGGACCTTTTTTAAAGATGCCAATCATTATTGTTCAATAACGGTGATCATCACGAAGAATACTGAATGGACTCGAAGTGAGAATTCGGGTCGGATCTGGAGAAAGATCGATGGAGAGAGAAATGTGAAAAATGGTTTTTAGTTTAGTGGTTTTAATTTTAAATTATTAAAATTTAAGTGCTTAGGAGATCCCTGCTTTTACAATTTCTATATCGAGGGAAGTTCTGGGTAAAATACTTAACCGATTTTTTTAACTATTAATTATTTTCTACTTTTTATTAGTTATTTTGTAATAACACTATATAGGACGATATTTGTAATTTAAAAATATCTATTGTAAACTTGGGCGGTAATATTTAGTTACTTAATCAATGTCAAATTATTTAGAAATAAGTGGTAAATGAGAAAAAAAACAATAAAACGTAAATAAAATAATAGTAAAATAAAATAGATAAAATACTTAATGCACGTATGAGATGTAATTAATGCGCTTATGAGATGGCGTACCTGAAATAAAAGAAAAACAAGTATGAGCAATCAAGTTTACCAAAGGTAGCTTTATATTAAAGAAAGTCATGAAAAGGTGATATCCATAAATAAAATACTTATTATCCTTCTAATTAACAAGAAAATTATACATGATAAATATGTCAAAATATTGATTATAAAAAAAAATATAATTGACACAACTTTAAATTTTCCATAATTGACAAAAAGTCAATTCTGTAGGCACTGACCGATCGATATATAAAAAGCCATTACTAGCACACTGACCGCAATGTCACTAGCCCGCACCAACCATGGTGCGACGACTCCGGGAATAATCCCTATATAAACGCAAACACTGACCGCAATGTACTACGCCAGAACAGACAATCTAACTCACTTTACTTTTGATTACACCTCGTAGAGGAAAACAAAATATAAGTAAATAGTCAAATTCAAATAAGTTTTAATTATTTAATATAACCCCGTTAATTTAGGATATAAGGTTTTCTCAATACTTGACAAAATATCTTTACGTCAGAATTGACAAATTAACTATAAAAGATTGATGGATAATAATTGGGTAATATAATTTGCAAAATAACTTGATTACAAATTAAAACAAAACTAATTGATAAAACATAATTACTCAGTGAGAAAAACTCACCCTGTTCAGCAAACAGCCACTCACAAAAATTATTATTCACCAGTTTTTTTTTATTATTATTATTATTGGAACGAACTTTAATTTTGTTCCGTAAAGTAACTAACTCAAATTCAGAATGATCTGTATTTTATGCCTGTTTCGATATTTTACCCTTAGTTCCCATATTCGTAATCCGATATCTCCATATCTTAATGGTGTTAATGTAAACATAGTCTGTGGCTATTTTGGAAGACAAATATTTCGTACGTTTAAAAAGAACCGGGTGTTTCGTAAAATAAAACTTAATAATATTGTATAGAAAATAAAATCATTCTTACAACTATTCTACAAACTTTTTCATTCAATTTTAGTTATATAAATATACCTCCGTCCGAGTATATTCATCCATACATTCAGTTTTAATTGAATTGAAAAATTCAGACTTTTTTGAAATTGTTTGTTTATGGTAAACCACTAAGGTCAAAACGCATCCGTATTTCGTTAATCACCTAAAAGTCGCTGAAATCCACCTTAATATTAGACGATTTCGCCAATATCTTCATTTTATACAACCTCTGTGATATTGGCGGAATCGTTTAATATTTATAAAACAGTTACCACAGGGATAACTGACTAACTGCAAACTTGAGCTGGGTTTTTTATGGAGACTAATCATATTAATGAGTACATGGTTGAATAGAGGATCGAAAGAGATGGTAAAAATGAACCCCCCCTCAACCCCTAACATTAAATAACATTTGATAAAAAGTTACCACAGGGATAACATACGGCATCGAATTTGGAAAATGGCTAATCCTGAAGGTCCTGATCAGGATAACTATTTAAATTATTGCATTGTCATCGGTCCTTGATAAGTGTGCAAAGTTTCAAATCAATCCGACGTTTTGAAGGGGGTGAAAATAATGTTAAAAGATTCCGTTCCGTAGATATATACATACCAAGCTAATAAAAGCTTGGTAATAAAAATAACTTGTCTTGACGTTTTACAACAAGAAAACCCGTTTAAAAAAACGACCCAATTTGCAAAATTTTATAAGATACCCCCTTTTAAATGGTAGAACATCCTGTTAAAATATTGGAACATAATTACGGAACACCCTGTACATTAAGTTATCAAGAAAAATATCAAAATCAGAAAAATAATTTCGGTTGATTTTCTCTTTAATTTCTAAAAGTGTTTATTTAATTTCTGAAGTTGACGTCGCTGGAAAAACTGAGTATAAAGTTAAAACTTGCAGTTTAGACAATTTTATTTTTTTTAGATGTACTTGTACTTCAATCCTGGACTGTATTAGTAGCTTTAATGTCTATAGCGTGGTCTTTGACCTCATATCACAGATCAGTCCGATTCGCTAGGGATGACAAAGAAAAAATGAAGTGGCCTGGTATACTAATTGCCTTCTGTTGGCAACTTATGAGCGCATGTAAGTAACTTATTAGGTTATTTTTCGGTTATTATAATATATTTCTTTATTTTTATTAGTATCTTCACATCTAACATTCAAGTTAGTCAAAATTAAGTTTACATTAACTTTAATATTTTTAAAATCATCATGCAACACAACAAAATTTGTTGGTATAAAATAATTATATAGTGTATAACTTAAATCTTATTATATTAAATATTTTATTTAAGTAATTTTCAATTATCTCAAAAACAATCATTCCCAATAAAATCATAAAATTGTATTGGAGGAATATTTTTATGGCTAAATATAAAATGTGTTAATAATTGCTATTTTTATCCAGAGATAAACAAAACAGGAAATAGTGATGTAATTTATGATCTATATGAATTACATGTTTTTGCTATTTTGATATTTTATAGGAATCTACTATTTTATAAAAATTCTAAATTATAGAGATTTTTATTATCTGTAATTGTTTTATCAAAAATATTTTATTTAACATTCACATTTTAAATTATTTCAATGTTATTATAATAACGCATGTTGTTGAAATACCGATTTCATTTTGTCATAATTTATTTTTTAAAATATTTAATTGCTGTATTGTTTATTACGCATTGTCTACTGATCCACTTAAGTCAATTGACAATATTTGATACTAATTGAAACATTCGTAGTGATCTATATAGGTATTACACGATTGAAGTGGTTAAAGCTGTCAAGTCATATTTTTTTATGGCCAAATATACTTAAATAAACCTATATTTTTTGATAAATAATGGCTATTTATCAGATAGGATCGTATCATGAGCCATATACCATAATAAAATTCTTTAAATTTGTTTTTCTCAATAATATTTTTGTGACATGACACCTTTATCCACACGTGTCTTCGATTGTTAACTTAATGTATTTTCAACTGACATTCTAATTTTTATTATTACACTTAACAGAAATACGCTAATTACCATTTTAGTTATTGCGTGTATTTAAAGATATTTTTTTCTTTTTATGATTAGGATTAACAATTATTATCCAACATTCTGATATTGTGGCAGGCTTCTGGCTTTACCCACTGTGAAGTGGAAGTCGTGGGTGGCGCTGTGAGTGGTGAAATTAGAATAAAGGTTGCTCAGGCGCCAGTTTTGCTAACGCGGTTTGCTCTTCGACCCTCAAGTGCCCCTAGAGTGCACTCAAAGTAGGCTCAGTGGACTAAAATAACTTACAGGCGGCCAGCTACTAGTGGGGTAAAACGGAAGGATCACTAAACACCCAAAAACGATAATAATACCTACCCACACCAACCTCGGTGGCCAAGTTACCTTATGGTAATCACCCTTGAGATAACTGGATGAATAAGATAAACAACATAATTTCAACGAAGCATATTTATTTCGAACAGTGGTCATAAATTCGGTCAAACATGGGTAAAATAAATGTAAATCTAAATAAATACCACTTACGACTAAAGAAAAACCTCCTGAAATGGTGATTAGTGGGAAGCTATTTAAACAGTGTAAATGCTCCGACGTTGTGTTGAATTAAAATAAAAAATAAGTAAATAAATCAAATAAATAAATAACACTTAAGCTGCTCTGCTTTCTTCCTTGTCGTCTCCAAGTCGCGATCTTCTAGTTCCCGACATAACTCGGTCACTTTTAAATCACACCGTTTTTTAGCAATTTTTGTCCACTATTTTTTTACAGTTCCACTTCTAAAACCAATGTTACGATTGTTTAATTCAAAAATAGTTTATTTATTAAAAAGTTTATTTATAATTTATTTATAACGTACTAATTAATTTATTTAGAACTTAGACATTATTATAACTCACAATTCTAATTTATTAACCGACTTAAAAAAGGAGAAGGTTCTCAATTCGTCGCGATATATTTTTTTTATGTATGTTCAGCGATAATTCTTTAACACGATGTCCGATTTCAATGATTCTTTTTTTGTTAGAAAGGAGATACTTCAGGGGTGGTCCCATATTAATTTGGTCAAAATCTAATAATTGGGTCTATGAGAAAATCCTCAAATTCTTCATTTTTTATGTATGTTTAGCGATAATTCTTAACCACCTTATCCGATTTCTATGATTCTTTTTTTGTTAGTAAGGGGGTACCTCGAGAGCGGTTCCATTAAAATTTGGTTAAAATCTAATGATGGGGTCTATGAGAAAATCATCAAACTCTTAATTTTTAATCTATTTTCAGCTATAATTCTTTATCACGTTGTCCGATTTATATGTTTCTTTTTTTGATATAAAGGGGATACCTCAGAGGTAGTTCCACATACAATTGGTCAGGATCTGATAAACTATGAGAAAATAAAAAAATCTCAATTTTTTAGGGCACCTGCACGATTTTAAAGTCTGTTTTTTAATTAAAAAATTATTTATTGCAATTTATCTTTACTATAATACACTTATATCGAAAATTAACGCCTACCGACAAATTCGCGCTATTTATATGAAGCCAGGTCTGCTCCAGTAGATTCTCGACAATCTAAAATAACTCGGAATTCTTCCTCTTTAAGTCAGCAGACACTCATCGGTTTCTTTGGTAGCTTCTCGAAGGAGTGCGTTTGTCTCTGTTCTGCGGTATTGACAAGGGATCTTTCAGACACGGTTTTGTTCGAACGGAGAAAATTCGTACGAATTTTTTCCGTGTCTTGGCAGAATTCACACTCGACTGTTTTCTTTTCCGTGAACCGTCTTCAGCTATTGTATTTTATGTCAGTTGGTCATCGACATGAATCGAAAGCAATACCATGAATCGAAAGCAATACCATGAATCGAAAGCGCACTATTGCCATGTGGCTTTTGCACCGTCATATACAAAATTATCGGAAACGACATAATCGTACATACTGGGTGCACCTAATTAATCAGAAAAGAGATGAAGAGGGCAAATTCATTTACTTAATGTAATAGCCCAATCGGATTAGGTGAAGAACAGGCTTGAGATTCTGAAAAATTCGAAGCAGCAATTTTCCTTCGGAATTCGTTGGAGGGGGTCTGTGGTAGTCTAAATTCAAAAAGTTGGGATTCCAAAGTTGTCGTTACCTCCGCCAGCTTGATTTAAAGGGTTATTTTTTGTATCTTGAATAACTCATTTATTTTCAATTTTACACGGAAAATAGTTTTTACAAAAGTTATTTAAAATTAAATTTCCTACAATTCTGCTTTTTTTTGTACGATCGATTTTTTTCGATTTATACCCGAAAAGAGGGGGTGAATTTTTGGTTATAGAATAACTCGTTTATTTTCAATTTTACGAGAAAAATTGTTATAAACAAAGTTGTTTAAAATTAAATTTCCTACAATTCTGTTTTTTTTGTACGCTCGATTTTTTTGTATTTATCCCTGAGAAGAGTGGGGGTAAACATTTTTGAAAATCAGCAAAAAAAAACAAACAGAAAAAATAATGGTACAACATCAATAATAAACGTGACAATACAATACTTAGGTTCACCCCCACTCTTCTCAGGAATAAATACAAAAATTTCGATCGTACAAAAAAAACAGAATTGTAGGAAATTTAATTTTAAACAACTTTGTTTATAACAATTTTTCTCGTAAAATTGAAAATAAACGAGTTATTCTATAACCAAAAATTCACCCCCTCTTTTCGGGTATAAATCGAAAAAAATCGATCGTACAAAAAAAAGCAGAATTGTAGGAAATTTAATTTTAAACAGCTTTGTTTATAACAATTTTTCTCGTAAAATTGAAAATAAACGAGTTATTCTATAACCAAAAATTCACCCCCTCTTTTCGGGTATAAATCGAAAAAATCGATCGTACAAAAAAAGCAGAATTTTGGGACATTTAATTTTAAACAACTTTGTTTATAACAATTTTTCTCGTAAAATTGAAAATAAACGAGTTATTCTATAACCAAAAATTCACCCCCTCTTTTCGGGTATTAATCGAAAAAAATCGATCGTACAAAAAAAAGCAGAATTGTAGGAAATTTAATTTTAAACAACTTTGTTTATAACAATTTTTCTCGTAAAATTGAAAATAAACGAGTTATTCTATAACCAAAAATTCACCCCCTCTTTTCGGGTATAAATCGAAAAAAATCGATCGTACAAAAAAAAGCAGAATTGTAGGAAATTTAATTTTAAATAACTTTTGTAAAAACTATTTTCCGTGTAAAATTGAAAATAAATGAGTTATTCAAGATACAAAAAATAATCCTTTAAATCAAGATGGCGGAGGTAACGACAACTTTGGAATCCCAACTTTTTGAATTTAGACTACCAGAGACCCCCTCCAACGAATTCCGAAGGAAAATTGCTGCTTCGAATTTTTCAGAATCTAAAATACTAATCCGATTGGGCTATAATATTTACGTGAAAACACAATTTTTAATTACTTTCGGATGTCCATTGAATCCTTTGATGAGCTTCATAACCGGCTAAAAAACAATATTCAGCGGCATAATATTAAAATGAGAAATTGCATTGAACCTATGGAAAGTTGTTACTAGTTTATTAAGTCATAATCGCGTAAACCAAAATACAAAATATTTATTATAAACGAAAACCAAACTGCAAGCAATAACGGACGGCAGACGACTAAAAATTGTCACATATGAAAGCCTGCATAAAGTTACATAGGCCACTGATAGACGGCGACGGTACGGTACCGTACAATTTAGTCGTTGACACGGCTGTTTTCAAATCGACCGTACGGAAAAAATCCGTCTCCGTCCAGTATGAAAGCTGCAGTTAATTTTATTAGTTTACTATAAACGACGCACGGAAAACATTCGTACGATTTTTTTCCGTACGGACGAAATCGTTGTGTTTGAAAGAGCTCTAGACGAAGCGGCTTGAAACGGCGAGAGGAACGAGGTTAGCTTAGGGTGTTACACAATATTATTGCTGTGAAAATCAAAATTGCTTATAATAAAAAGTATTATCTGGTATTAAATTAATGCACTTTCATGTGCTACTTTTTAAATGGATACGGTGTTGACAAATTAAGGAAAATATTAGTTTTT